CCCTTGCACAAAACGACGATCATTGTTCTAATTTCATAGATAACAGAACACACATTTTTCTACATAACCCCCCCCCCTGACGTTAAAGCTGGATCCGCCCCTGGTTACCCAGGCCTAATACCTACACACTTTTCGATCTGTTTCTAAAATGTTGCTCTTTAAAAGCTTGCAAAAGTTGGCGTCTCGGGTCTCGTAAAGCTTTAACAAATTAATGATATCTCATCAACCGATGAGTTATAACTCGTTAACTCAGAGAGCGGCAACAACTCAATAGCGCAACTCAACACAGTGTTACCCAGGCCTAACAGGGTGTCCTGTAAGCACAGGATTAGACGCGAGAACTTTTACTAAGAAAAGATGTTTGGCCTCTGTGCTATTAATGGTCAAAGTGATTCAAAAAAATGTGTTTATCAAAATGTTGTGGAAATTAATTATTGGAAAAATGTATAATTATTCCAGTGCCTGCAAATGTAATTTTTTACATACAATTTTAAATGTATCAAAAACGGTTGGACCTAGATATAGGACGTTATATATGAAATACATTTAGATTTTGGAGAAGAATTAAAAAGTGTAGTAATATATAGGGTGTCTCACTTAAAATAAGCAAGTTGATGGCTACTTCCGGTATAACCGGAAGTGTGGCCATCTTGAAAATATTCAAAATTGCTTGCCCGCAATGACTTCGGTATACTGCCCAATTTTCAAATGCCTCCTAATTGCATTGTGTTGTGTGGGGCACCCTGTATATTTTTGATTAACTACCTGTATTTGTACTGCCGATTATTGTCCTCAAATTGGGAGCCTCCTTAGATTTGGAACTGTCCCTACCAAATAGAGGCTTCGAGGTAGTTGTTGCGGTGTTTTGGAGTGTTGTAAAGGCCGTGGATAATCAGTCGTTCGGCAATAGGCAACACAGCCTGAAATCAAGCGAACAGAAAAAAAACCAGAATAATTATCCCAATCGAACAAATACTGCGAGAAATCCCCCCCCTCCAGTTCTACACGTTACACAATCTCCAGTTCCGCACTTGGGGACTTTCCAAAAGGGGGAGTGAGAGAACGATGGCCCCCATAGGGGTTGCAGGGGGCACGCAAGCAGGCGATTCAGAGGGAAAGTGAAGCTGGGCTGGACCAATCAATACCGGGGTTCAAGGACACAAACCACCCGACAATCCAGTTTGTGGATGCGACGTTGTGCTGTTGTGATTTTTTGCCTCTTGAGAGCCACGATTTCCTAGGCCTAGTCTGTGGGGATGTGGGGGATTTTCCTGCAACCCGACAACGATGCCCGGGAAACATTCGCGCTGCAAGACAAAGATGGGGGCTGGGAAAGAATAAAAAAACTGCTTTAATTGCGCCTTGGCTTCGGGAGCTCCAAACGGATAAACCGACGATTGCTGAGTGCAAAGAGCGTCGATATCGGATTAACGCTGGGTTGGGTACCAATGGGGCAAAGCGGCAATAACGCGATCGGCGAAAAGAACCACGAACCGTACTCAATGGCAGGTGGCAGGTACCTACTTATTGTAAACTTCCAAGGCCAACGACAGCAGGGTACGACCTACAGAGTACCCGGCCAGACAACAAAAATGCACATAACGTACGCCGGTCGAAATTGAGTTGTGCGAGATTTATCAAACCGTGAACCTTCGGAACCCCGGACTTTTCTGCCAAGTTTTTTCGCAAAAGAAATCCACACAAAACTCATTTTATCGCTCTCTTCTTCACAGACCGGCTGATTTTAATGTTCCCTTTTCACCTACTTCTTGTCATCTTGCACCGTGCGGATCACATCGTCGATGCAAAGCTGTTGGTTTTGTTTTGCTCCTTCGTACATCCGGTTCTCCTTTCTACATTTATCCTTAGCTGGGAGACCTTGTGGCATGTGCCAGCACTTACTTTTACTATCGCTTTATGGGCTCTTAGAAGAAATCGAATTTGAATTGGTACGAGGGTGCAACGAAAACGTGTTTCACTGAAGTTGGCTCAATTTGAGAAACACCAACTGTTGGAAAACGTTGCCTCAAGGGCCAATCATTACGGTGTTGTTTTGGAGATAAGAAGTGGAAAGTTGGATTTTGAATCTTCTGCAAAGCCAACACCGCCCCTTGCCAAAGAACCTGGATTAAACGGAACTTAAAGCACAGTTGAATGATGATATTCCAGGGCTCAGTCAAAAAAACAGAAGAGTTTTTGGATTTTTGCGAAAGTTGGCAATCATTTCAAATACCGGGTGTTTCGCTAAAAAGCCCCAGCTCTTTAGCTCCTCTATAGATATATTGTATATGTTTACCACCCATTGAAAGAGAGTACACCTGAAGCGGACTTTCCTCCGTTATTAAGCGGGCACTTAATGCAAGTGCAGAGCAGACCTGCAAGGTGGGCTTCTTCGTTCCACCCCGTATAGACCGGCAATTTGGGCCCAAAGTTTCTCCTGCTTCATGCACAGGCAGCTTGAAAGCGAGCTTTTGGGCGATTTAATCGAAAATTGGAGTGAAAAATGCGAAAAACTTACCCCCAATAACTGGTGGGTTTCGGTAAACTTACATGTGGGGGTATCCTAGGCACAGTTTTTGGCACACTTGTCACACATATAAGAGTCCGAAGCGAAGAGAGAGCCTACTGGCGCGCGGCGGGGGGAAAATGAGGGGATAGAGATGCTGCGCTCCCCAAAGTGATAGATCGGTTGAAGGGGGCCCGAGGAGACGACGCTGACGCGCACGCACTGTGAAAGCTACGACTTGCTTTTAATTGGGGCCTTTTTGCAGACGAGGACTACGCCGAGGTCTGCCTCCGATGGACTCTTCGCCACGTTGCCGCTGTGAGGGTTGCAATTCTCCTGCGACATCAATTTTTTTACCAGTTCCGAACCGCAACTCGCCTTCAGCCGCTAATGGAGGCTTTGCATTGAAAACAACCCTTAAATCTTCCTAAATCACATCATCATCATCATCATCATCATCATCATCATCAGCTCATTTCCGAGCTGGAATTAGATAAAGAGTTTCACTTGTTCGATGCATCCAATTCTAAAGCGAAGCATTCGGAGCCCCAATTAGGCGTTGGATGGGGGCCCTGCGGATGGCAACCCAGCAAGCCCCACGATAAAAATCAATTGCTGCGCCTTCCCTGCAGGGCCTTCTCATTGGTCCATACCGGATTTTTGTACTGGAATCCTGCAGTTTATGTACTAAACTAAAAAAGAAGCTGCTCGAGTGGTCCTCTAAAACTGAGTTCGGTCGGCCCAACTAGAAAACCCTGCAGCTTCCAGATATCTGGACGTTTCTTCTGCAGGCAAAGATTATTCTGGCATTGAATGACTCATTCAGCAGCATTCAAAGTGCATCACCTTATTTTACCGCAAGAATCGCTGGTTTTTTAATGCTGAGGAAGCGTCGAGTACATGTGGAAAATGCGTGTTCACTGTTCTCCTACCAGTGCCGTGCCCGCAGGGCTCGGAACATCAAATACATTAGTCTAATTGTTTGGGCCTTTATCCCGAGCTGAGACTTCTGATACTACATTCTGTACAATCGGCCCTATCCGCTCACTCACCCCCTTGCTCTTTCGCTTAGCAAAAATTCCTAAGACCTACATTTGCAGGAGAGCCAGAAGAGTTGCCGAGCCATAACTTTCCGCTATCAGCTCCTGATCAGCAGGAATATCCCCCGAAGCCTTGAATGAAGCTAATTTAGGGCTGATGATAAACTTTGGATGATTTTCAGCATCATCCGCTTGATTGATTATTGATTAACTCAACATCGGCAATCAATAATCGGTCCTACTGTGACGGACTTCTTCACACGTGGCGAATACGCTCAACTTCGTTTCTATCGCGAAGAGAAGATGGCAACAGCTATTCTAGCTTCTCCATTTTATCGATGAAACAACTATTAGAAAAACAGATAGTGAAAATGTTTCCAGTCTATCTAGGGGTGGACATACAGTTTATTTGGCCATCTTCACTTAATGGCGAATGCGCCTCATTTAGTCTGCATCTCAGCGCGAAGATGCCAGCAGCTATTCCAGCTTCTTCATTTTGCTGATGCCTCCTTGTTTACTCTCATTATTTCGGTTGTTTATCTGATTCATTCACTACTAAACAGCGCAGAAGTGTCGTTCAACCTTGGCAAAGGAAAATCTTTGGATTAGTAGAATACCTATAAAGGGAATCGGGATCTGCGGTCAAAACCCGGATTATTTTATTAATTAGTCCCTTAAAGGGTGCCTTCCCCCGGTGGCAATTACCTACCTGGGGTATTGTATTGTGAAAATATCCACCCTTAACTGTGGGGAGTTTTTCCAGTACTAGTCCAAGACAGACGGTCTTCGACTTATTTTTTTTTTTCGTTTTATTGCCGACGTTTCGCCATGTTTATTTAGGCATCCGCAGGGCATTGAGTCACAGCGCTCCTGATATACCTACAATCCGCAGGGGTTTTCATGGTCACATTTTACCCTCAACGGTTCTAGAATCGTTCTCAAATTACAATTCCGAATGTTTGACTCGTTCTGAGTATTGAAGGCTTGCTTTAGCCTTGTTCCAAATGGGTTCAATGTGTACTGCTTCGAACTGCGGTTCCACCGCAGCGGAAACTGGCACGCCTTTCTAAAACACCGCGATTGTGCGTAGTTGTATCTTATTCTAAACTGGCAGCGAAAGGAATTTCGGAAAGTAGGTAACGCTCATCAAATATTTAACTGTTGTTTTCAAACGAGTACCCGTTGAACTGGCAAATATTTGGCTTAATGGGGAAAAACCCACAACAACCAGACGCTTTCCACTGTGTAGGATAAAATTCGTTGTTGGTGGCAATGAATAATTGGACAGTCATCGAGCAAGAACCATTTTCCCGGTTTTTGGGTACCCAACGGTCGGCATTTCGCCGCCTGTTCGGGGGGGATTCGCTCCATCCATGCCTCGAAAATGCCGGTTAGAAATCGACCGTATCCGGTTGAAACAGGCCGTACAGGCGGGTTTTAACAAGTCTGAAAAAGCTGGCCCCTGCAACGGATCAACAACAGCTGCATTCCCGACTCCCCAGTTAAATGCGGCCCGGAAAAGTTCTTCAATGGAAGTAGAGAGCTTTGTCTCGTCAAACCTCCCAAGTTTTCGACTGTTATTGCTGACAAGAGAACTAGCAGATAAACTTCTCTTTACCACTTGCAAATAAATCAAGTTTTCCTCATTTTTTTTATGAGATTGGGGAAGTTCATTTTAATAATCAAAAGTTACACTACACTGGTCGACGTTTCGCCTATTTTCATAAGCTGAGCCTGCGGCAGCTTATTAGTTAAAATTGACTTTAAATTTTCCTCCAGAAAAAAGGAGAGAATAGAACTAGTTGCTAGAGCAGGAACCAATCTTCATTTGAGAAAAACAGCACTAAACCGCCATAGCACCGATGAACTTGCAACAGTTAGTGAAAATGAATAAAATTGCCCTCAATTTCGCAATAGTTTCTAGCTGTAAAACAGGAACGTAGCAGTAAAGAAAATGAGGTACCCAATCGTGAAAACAGTCGCAGTTGGCGATTACACATGTCTGAGAAACGGAACAGTTGAATGACAAACAAAGGAGCAATGGAAAGATAAGTCTGAGTTTTCGTGAAGATAAAGCCAGCAATGCTGAACTTGGACCATCAGTTTTGTAGAGAATCCGAACCCTTTTTTCGCTAAACCTAAAATTCACACGTATTTTTCTCTGGAAAGTCCCCAGCATTATTCCATGATCCAGGGGGGGCGTCACTATGGTGACGGGCGTATCCAGGGTACTGCCCTGTAGGGTTTCATGGAAGCTCGATCGATTTTCGCCTTGAAGCCATGCGCTGAGTGTCGGAAAATACACTCACGGTCTTCCAGTGAAACTGGCACGCAATTTTGGATAAAACTCATATAAAATATGTCCAGTTTCCCTCGATCGATTGGCTTTATTATTCAAAGTTTCCTGCCGTTTTCCAGCACCACAACCACGCAAAAACCTGAATGTTTGTTCAATCGATTAGCGGAAATATTGCGGATTCGAGAGGTTTTATTTAGTTTAGTTTAATAGATTCATTGGTCTTCAAAAAATTGATGAAGCCCAACCGCGTGTTTCAACTGCTTTCCATTCTCCCCAAGGCCTATAAATAAACAGGGCCATATTGAGCTTTGCCAGCTGTCGGCTTTCGTTGGGGCTTCGCTGACGCCCCTAAAGCTCCTCTTCGGCAAACGATTTCCCTGCGTTGCACCAAGCCATGAGTGCATTGAAAGTAGTGGAGAATCGCTTGGGAAGAACAACAATCGAAGAAGTTCAAGGTTTAGCAGAATGTTTTTTGTGATCTATGAACTTCCAGAAAATGAACAGTTTCTACAACGGGGGGGATTTGAATAAGAAGGCCTTCGACCATACAGTAGGAGGACCTTCTGCCCCCCGGGTAAAAATCTCGCTATTTTTTCTCACGTATTTTCAGCTGCTGAGTCGAATGTTTCTTATTGTTTATCTTTTCTTCAGTTCAATTTTTTAAATCAATATTTTAAAGTTAAGTGTAAATCACTGTCCACTTATCATTTACTGCAATATTTACGTAAAAGGTACTTTTTTATTTTTTAAAGTCTAATTAATTGTTCAGCGCAAACGTCGACCATCAGGAAGAATCACCCTGTATACAAGCACGAAAAACGAAATTTGCAAGAAAAGCTTTCCATTGAGGCGATAAGAAAATCTGAAAATTGTGACAAAATTTCCTGATGTTCAAACTTTCCGCTCAAATAAATTTGGTGATTTGTCCAAACCAACGGAAAACTGAAACATACGTGACAATTCAAAGCGTTTAGATTCGTAGAAAAATCCCCAGGAAAAATCTGAAAAGGTCGCATAAAGCCGATGAATTCTGGCTGCACCATTGAGGCGACCCTCCTTGGGTGCCAGTATTGATTATTTGGCTAAACTAGGGGGTCGGATATGGAGGGTGATCTATAAGGGGTGATATGTGAAGGAAACTGCTACCTGCTTGCTGAAAAAGACCCTGATTTCGTTAAAAATGGCCTAGCAACTGCATGAGGAAAGCGTGCATGTAAGCGATCTAAGCAGGAGCTGGGTTCCCATCAATAAATTGCCTGAAAATAATAATACATGAATATAATGAATGTTAATTTAAAAATTACATTCTCTGGTTTTCCGCTCAGTGCTACCTACTTTACTTATTTAAACCGATTTAGAAAGTAGGCGCTGATCTTCGTCTATGATGTTGTCGACCTGGCAATAAAACTGTACCATGATATTGATGTGAAAAGACAAGGAAAAAACGAAGCCCGAGCTATAGGAAAGAAAAGAAATCCGGCGATCGTGTGCCTTTTCCATGGTGTCGCAAACCGTTATTCTTTCGAGGTTTTTGACCGTTTTCTCGGCTGTTTCCCACTCTTTCCCATGTATCAGCCAGCCAGTTTTTCAGTTCGGTTAGCTGTATTTTACATTTCGTTAAAATCCTGCCACGCAGGAAAATCGCCACATTGCAAGTCACTCGATTTACGCCGATTATTCACATTTGAAAATTCAATAAAACTTTTTAGCATCAATTTTCAATTTCAAACTGGAACCAGTGGAATACCAGCTAGGGACCCTATTGCCTTATTATGTGAACTTCAGATGTTTATTTCTTTCCAAACTCTTCTAAGGGCGTTCAAGGTCTTTACATTGCTGAAGCTGACACCTCGATTGGGAAAAAGGTTCTTCAAATTGCCAGAATGAAAATGCCTGTTCCAACATTGGGACATCTTCGTCTGTGTCATACTCGTTGTCAGAGTCTTTATCTTTTTCTAACTATTCGTTAAGTGGAATTTCATCGTCTGGTTCATAATCATTCTCTTTTCTTACAAATCCCCCATGCTTAAAGCAATTTGCAATGGTTTTTCGGCTAACTTTTTGCCAAGCTCTATGAATGAAATTGACTGCATCTAA